ATCGGAGAGTAAAAAGCTACATATATCATTTTTCAATACTGATTGTTATCTCTGCAAGTTGACTCAGACCTAGCTTGTTCATCTTATCAACATGTTTCTTTACTGAATAAAATATTTGCCACTGGACACTTAGTTACAAATAAAGTAGTTAATCCATAATTTCACAAACGTGTGTACTTTGTTTAGACTTTTAATTATGCACTTTCGTCAACTGTTTAATTTTTCCGTTCTTTTGTTTCCGATTGATTTTGTTATGTTTCTTTTGGTACCAAGATGATTAGAATTCCAGTTAGAATTGATCTCACAATATTTTTTTTTGAAAATACGTAGCTTTATGGGAAATGTAACAAAATAAGGGGACGAATATTTATTGCATAATTCTGGAAACGTTGTCGAAACATGATTTTGCTTCTATTTGTCTTTGTGCTACTGTGTCTGTAAGGACATTTGTTTTGTTTAGCTGATGAGAGTTTTTATATAACTTCATATGCATACAGTAAAGTTGCAGTGAAAAAAGAAACACCGAAGAAATTTATCTAATTCAAATTAAGTCATTGAACACACCTTTTCAATAGTTGATACTGGTAAATTTTCAAAAGTTACTAATGTTTATTTTAGTTTGAATTTTAAAAAAAATCCTCAACAAAATAAAAACACAACATCATTATTTTTTGTCGAGCCTGCGACTTTTGTCGCAGAAAGCTCGACATAGGGATAGCGATCCGGCGGCGGCGGCGGCGTTAGCTAACTTCTTAAAAGCTTTATATTTTAGAAGATGGAAGACCTGGATGCTTCATACTTTGTATATGGACGCCTCATGTTACGAAGTTTCCGTCAGTCACATGTCCAATGTCCTTGACCTCATTTTCATGGTTCAGTGACTACTTGAAAAAAAAGTTCAGATTTTTTGTAATGTTAAATTCTCTCTTATTATAAGTAATAGGATAACTATATTTGGTATGTGCGTACCTTGCAAGGTCCTCATGCCCGTCAGACAGTTTTCACTTGACGTCGACCTCATTTCATGGATCAGTGAACAAGGTTAAGTTTTCGTGGTCAAGTCCATATCTCAGATACTATAAGCAATAGGTCTAGTATATTCGGTGTATGGAAGGACTGTAAGGTGTACATGTCCAACTGGCAGGTGTCATCTGACCTTGACCTCATTTTCATGGTTCAGTGGTTATAGTTAAGTTTTTGTGTTTTGGTCTGTTTTTCTTATACTGTATGCAATAGGTCTACTATATTTGGTGTATGGAATGATTGTAAGGTGTACATGTCTAGCTGGCAGGTGTCATCTGACCTTGACCTCATTTTCATGGTTCAGTGGTCAAAGTTAAGTTTTTGAGTTTTGGTCTTTTTTTCTAATACTGCATGCAATAGGTCAGCTATATTTGGTGTATGGAATGATTGTAAGGTGTACATGTCTAGCTGGCAGGTGTCATCTTACCTTGACCTCATTTTCATGGTTCAGTGGTCAAAGTTAAGTTTTTGAGTTTTGGTCTTTTTTTCTAATACTATATGCAATAGTTCAACTATATTTGGTGTATGGAAATATTTTATGATCTATATGTCAGTCACGCAGGTTTTATTTGACCTTGACCTCATTTTCAAGGTTCATTGCTCAGTGTTAAGTTTTTGTGTTTTCGTCTGTTTTTCTTAAACTATAAGCAATAGGTCAACTATATTTGTTGTATGGAAGAATTGTTAGCTGTACATGCCTGCCTAGCATGGTTCATCTGACCTTGACCTCATTTTCATGGTTCATTGGTCAATGTTTAGTTTACTTGGTTAATGTTAAGTTTATGTGACAGTTGTAATAAAGCTTTATATTTAGGACTATCAACATAATATCAATGGTTAGTAAAGAAGGCGAGACATTTCAGCGTGTGCACTCTTGTTTTATTAACTGAACATAAAGAATTTCATATATACATGTACCAAGCTATAGAATTTCATATATACATGTACCAAGCTATAGAATTTCATATATACATGTACCAAGCTATCGAATTTCATATATACATGTACCAAGCTATAGAATTTCATATATACATGTACCAAGCTATAGAATTTCATATATACATGTACCAAGCTATAGAATTTCATATATACATGTACCAAGCTATAGAATTTCATATATACATGTACCAAGCTATAGAATTTCATATATACATGTACCAAGCTATAGAATTTCATATATACATGTACCAAGCTATAAGGTGCCCTCGCTTGCCAAAAGTTAACTTAAAAAAAACACAGAAGTTCTTCTTAAAGTGTAGGACTATAGGGAAAGAAAGTCTTCCTTTTTTGTTTTCTTTTTCATTAGAATAACTTTTTGAATTCAGATAAAGTAGTTTATTTAATGATGAACATAAGTAATATTAGACCAAAGTTGCAACATGTTTGTTCATCGTGTAAATACTTTCATCATATCTAAAGAGAACAGTAAATAAAAATAAACTATTGGTGACGAGTGTATATCTAGCATTCTTATTGGTCCCCTCTGGTTGATATTTAATTATGGTTCTTCATTTTCTGGTTGCAAAACCCAAAACCACGGAGTTGGAATAGAGTTGACACTGGCCATCTTCCAAATCCTGCAATCTAGCATTATGACGTATTGTTTATTATTACATAACGTCAAAATACCGTTGGCTTTTGGGCCTATGCCGTGGCACTCAAAGGTAGTGTTTTTCAATAGGCCGGATAGGCCCTATGGCAGAGAAAAGGTAAAATTGTCACCAAATATTTCATTTCAAACCACTAATTTTACAACAATTATGCCTACTGCATTTGTTTTCTTGTCTGATTTTCATGTTTAATCCACTAAAATCAGGGATCATCAGAGTTCTCGCACCATTATATACAGGTATGTGACTGAAATTTATTTTTGGAGTATTTTAAAACATGTTCTTCATCAACATTAAATTTGTATTAAACATTTATGTCAACAATGAACATTAAATTTTGACATAATTGTTTATTACATCGGAATATGTCTAAAAATAAAACTAACACTCTGGCATTCTTGAGTTAAAAAAGTGATATTACAATATGAAAACTTCTATCATAATCATATTTAATTAGTTCTATCATGGAAGTATTATATTGACAGGAACTCCAACGAAAAATTAGCACATTCCCATCCCACTGATTTCTTTAAGAAAATAAAAGGTTCCGACTCAGTTTGTCAAGTACGTGATAACTCCTTTGTGGGGTATCTGTGATGCCGCCTTCGCCTGTTCTTTTAACTGAAGCTGGTCTTATCACGTGATTTGGTATCGATTGTCTTATCTACCTACCAATGTAAATAAACACGGAAACTCCCGTGGTTATTTGTGAATCGCCACATGAATAACAACACCTGTTTCCTTTCAATAAATGAAGAACAAAGCTGAAAAGATCGAAAAAATCGGTCCATATTTAACAGAATGACATAAGAAAATTAACTGCATTCGGAAAGAGGGCAAGCTTATTTTTAGTTTTGTTGAGTATGTTTTAATCATTGGAACTTGGAAATCGGGAAATATCCGATTATGAAAATTACATGATTCTGAAGTAGTGCTTTTGCAGAAAATAATGTGATGCGCGTGTAGTGAGCTGGATGGTGCCTGATAACTCAAATTTTAAGTTAAAGATTGTAAACTTTTATCGAGTGAGACACAAATATTTATGGTTTTCTCTATCGTAAAATGTTATTAACTTATTTATCAAATATGTTTTAAAGACTAAAAGAGGTTAATAATTACACGCATGTGATGACCTCTACATAGCAATATCAGGTTACGAGACATGCAGATGAATTGTTACACCTTTTATAATTAATCCGAAGTTGTAAACAACCTTAAACATTCAACCTAGTCCGAGATTACTCTTTAATTTTTACGGATGGCTTTAAATATTTCTGGATGCATTTAAAGAACGATCACCATGATGATGGGCCCTAAGCAGTTTAAATTTTTAGAATTTATTTATGTGTTTAAAAGCTGAACAGTTCTGAAACATCTTACACCGTATGCTAAGCAATTTATGTTTTTGTTTCTTGTTTAATTGCATGAAATATTTGCCATTGGACTTTCAGTAAACAATAAATCAAAATATTTGATATTTTTTCGGATCAAAGCTCTTTAACCCCGTCCCCCCGGCCAACTTTTCAGTGGATTAAATTTTTGTTAATTGGAAATTCTTTCATTAAACACTTCAGTAAAATATTTGTCAAAGTTAGCAGTAAAACGCGATAATAATTACTGATAAAAACTTTTCCGTTTACTTTTCATGAGAATTTTATGATTTTCAAGCCTAACATGTATATAACAGTTACGCGTGTTTAGCCAACGGCCCTCTCATGAATAAAAATCTTACTATTTTAAAATTGATTGTAACTTAAACTGAAATGTTTATGGCTTGTGAGTATTTTTACTCTTCAGTTTTTTTGTTTTTGTTTTTTTAATCGGTGAAAACAGTCGCGGGGATTTCGTTTCTTTTCTTTTTATTTGTTATTAAGCAGCAAAACCCGTAAAAACTGACATTATATTTGTAATTCACATGGTCGGCAAATGTCATTTCCTTGACAATTAAGTACACATCCGGTTATTTCGGTATGTTCCGTAATTACGATCATTCACGAGGTTCCAAAAATTTGATCGGAACCCATGCATCCATAAGACATGTCGAGTTAATTAACAGATACTTAACGATTTTGCGGCATCGCACTATAAACGTTTGAAGTCCGCTTGTTGGAGTTCCTGTCAATATAATACTTCCATGGTTCTATACATGGTTTTAAATGCAATTTATTAAAAACATGTTCTTATTTCTAAACTTTTCTGATAATGGATTAAATAAAACCATTTTCAAGAAAGGTGAACAAAAATCCAGAAAAAGTGAAAATGCCTACATTCCAAAATTAGTAAGTATTTTTAGAAATTGACATTTGGAAAAGAGCAGCATTATAAATAACTTGAAAGATAGATAATAGAAATGTTTTTGTTTTTTAGTTACACACCAGACAGATCAGGAAAAAGATTACAGTGGGAACAAGGAGCAGATGGAAATAGGTTTGTAGTTATTGATTCTATCTCAACAGTTTCTTTTAATGTCTAGACTTAATTTTAGCTGACACTCCAAAAGGGCCAGTGTGATCTGTTATATCAATTAAAAAATTACAGAAATAAGCATTTAACATCAACACCAAATTTTCTAAGGAAAAAAATTATGCTATATTATTTATAGATAACCAGTGAATATAGAAAATTAAAATCAACCCATCTATTGTAATCTAGATCATTGAAAAAGCAAAATGTACATAAAACAACATACAATATAAAATCAGCAGTCTTCAACAAGACCCATATCCCCATTTGTCCAGCTCCAGGTCCACCCATAGTCGAGACAAGTTGGGTAATTTTTTTAACCCAGTTTTGCCCGTTTACCATCAGGGCTAAGTGATTTACCCAACAAGATTGTGTTGTAAACTTACTCTAACAATGCGAGCTTTATAGTAAAGTGTTCTTAATATATATAACCAATATAAAAATAAGGAGAAGTGGTATGATTGCCTATGAGACAACTATCCACCAAAGTTTAAATGATGTGGATGTAAGCAATTGTACGGCCTTCAACAATGAGAAAAATCCATTTATAGTCGGCTTTAAAAGACCCAGACATGAAAATATGAAACAATTCATTTTAGAAAACTAACACCTTAATTTATAAAAAAACAATTTACAAAAATCAAATATGACAGACATGAACCAATAAAAACCCCTAACTACAGGCTCCTGACTTGGAACAGACACACAAAAGAATGTGATGGGGTTAAACATGTTTGTGAGCGCTCAACCCTCCCCTAACCTGGGACAGTGGTGTTACAGCACAACATAAGAACAATCTATAAAAATCAGTTGAAAAGGGCTAAACTCATCAGATCGATACAAAGCAGAAAAAAAACATCTAACCGACTGGACGTGTCCATTTTACATTAATAATGCTACTGTCTGTGCTTGGAACTTGGATATCCCTTCTTTTAATCCAGAAACTTTTGGTAGGCTTTGGAATTAAAACTTGTCATTAAATTAAATGAAACAGGGTAGCAAATTATAACAAATATATAGCTAGTGGAACAGTGGAATAAAATATCTAGTTATATCTTGGAGTGATGAATATTTAAGTAATATTATTAAGATTGTGAACATTTCTTGCTTTTTACTCTAAGGAATTCTAATGAGTCAATCTATTAAAAGGTTTGCTGGAAGAAGAAGATTAGAAATGAAAGGTGATGATAAAAGGGAACAAAGAGGTGCAAGAAGGTATTTTATATATTGAGACTTATATATTCAAGTTTAGTCTTGAACAGTTTTTATGGCCCCAAAACAAAGTTGTCGGGGCCATATACATGTAGTTTTACCCTTGTCCGTCATTCCGCAACAAACCATTATACAGACTTTTTTTCTAAACGCCTTTCAGATATTGGGCTGATTTTTGGTATGTGAGTTAACCATGATGAGTTACAGATCAAGTTTAAGTTTCGTTCTGCTCTGCCAAAATTATGGGCTTTGGACTTGGATAAATTGTTGAAAATCACAGTTATACGGCAATTTTTTCTAAACGACTTCAGATATTGGGCTGATATTTGGTGAGTTAACCATGATGAGTTACAGATCAAGTTTAAGTTTTGTTCCGCTGTGCTAATTTTTGCCGTAATTACGGGTTTTGGACTTTTGGTATGTGAGTTAGCCATGGGGAGTTACAGTTCAAGTTTGTTTCGTTCCGCTCTGCTTATTTTTGCTGAAATTACGGGCTTTGGACTTTGATAAATTGTTGAAAATCACATTTATACAGACTTTTTTTCTATATGCCTTCTGATTTTGCGCTGATTTTTTAACAGTCTACCATGATGAGTTACAGATAAAATTTGTTTCGTTCCGATATGCTGATTTTCATGTCGTTTCAACACATCTTCAGTACATCCACTTCCTGTTTGCTGATAGTTTGAAAGTTAACTACTCATTGATCAAGGAAATTTTTCATCAAACTAGTGTTGGTCTTGAGAGCTGGATACTATCCATGCATGTTTGTGTCCACATGTGTTGTTGAAATTGCAGATTTTTCAACTTTTTGAGCCATTCGTGTTGTTCTGACACATCTAGTTATTATTGTTTTGCCTGGAATAAATTCCTTGAAGGAAAAAGTATTGCCATTTAAGTTCAACATTTGCATTTTACTATCAAAATTTCATACAGATGAGACATATCTCTGTGTCAACAGTTTATTTTATATAGACACCATTGTTTTACAGGGGTTCACCAATGGAAAAAGAAACAGATGAAGCTATACTGGAGAGAAGACAGAAAGCAGTGGACTATGGGAAGAACACATTAGCTTATGATGAGTACATAAAGGCAGTTCCAAAGTAAGTGATGAAATCTAGTTTCATTTTCTGTAATTTATGGAAAAAAAGTACTTAAATATAGCTATACCATTTGAAAAAATTTAGTTCTTTTAACTTATCTACCTTCTTTTTACTGGATATATAATAAAAAGAGGGTATGGTTGCCAAATGAACAACTTAAGGTCACCATATGGCCTTCAATAATGAGGGAAACCCATACCGTATAGTAAGGTATAAAAGTCTAGTATGACAACATGTGAATAGTGAGATCTACCTACGTTCTTATTCCCTCCAAAATCATCAGAATACTTTTAGGAGTTATGCGTTTTTATCATTTTGCCCTTTTGACAAATTATCACGATAAATGTACAAATAATTTTTTATAAATCTCCTGATAGGAGTTATTTCCCTCAAATTGAAATTTTTTACCCAAATAATGTGTTGCACAGCCTTATCTTTCCAAAGTTAGGGTGATGGTTCTCTGGATCTAAACCACAGATTTGACTACATTTGGTATAGCAGTAAATCATTGTCACACTTGGGACTAGCACAGACTCAATGAAATAGCAAGCAGCTGGAGCATACTATGTAGACCAAAGTAGTCTGATGTTTAATATTGTTTTCCCATTTTAGAAATCAAAGAAAGAAAGGCCATCCTAGAACTCCAAACAAGTTTATGAAGTGTAGTAGGAGATCATGGGATTGTCAGGTCAGATACTGGAGAATCAATTTACACCAGTGGGATCCCCCTCATGTTAAACAACAGATGGAAAATAGGTAATATATATTTTGTATGTGATGGTTTACTGTAAATTCAGACATTTTTGCAAAAAATAAAACTTGTATGTAACATTTTCTGAAATCTCAATAATTAATTTTGCTTTTGTCTATTGTTCAACAAATGCAGAAATAAAAGCACACAAATATTAGTGAACTTAACCTTTTCATTTCTCGGGAAAAGAGTGCTATTTTTTAGACCTAGCCATTGTTAGTAGATCTTATTGCTTATATTGGTTAAATAAGAACACAAAATTATATAACTGATATTTTCTTACTTATTTAATCTTTTAAATGTCTGATGACATTGTTTTGATTATCTATACTTACAGATAAAAACAAAAATTTGATATAACTTTTTACAAAGACTGAAGTATTTTGGTATGACTGATCCCTTTTCAGGCTGTTTTATTTTTATGAAACTCCATAATGTCTTTAATAATGTTTGAAAAAACCTGAAATTAAACATACGTGTATGTATCCTAAAGGAATGTTAGAAGTTACACTCGTCCCCTCTTACATTTAATTCAGAACTTTGTTTTGCAGTGATAAAAAAAATAATTGAAAAAAATCATTCCCTCCTTTGTTGAATAAAAGATGTATCAAGTCCAAAAAAAAACTAGCATAGTGCTGCATATTTCCTACATGAAGCTTTATCTCCAAGACTTAAATAAGATGAATCTGGATATCTTCTGAACCTTACTTTGGATATCTGTATACAGCATCCAAGTTTAATACAACAAACAGTATTGAATGATTTTTGTTGTTACAGGAAGAACCACATCTTTGACAGTTCATCAGAAGACACAGCCTATTCCACATCTCCCTCCGACTGTGAGATGGAATCCCTTTCATCATCCACAAATGATTCAGCGTCCACTTCATCCAACATCAACGTACATATCAAAAACCAAATCAACAAGATCAAACACGAGGTTGACAACATATTCCCCCCGCCAGCTTACATCCAGACTGCCGACTCTAAAACTGAGGACAATCAGACAACAGATAACCAATTAGAGGATAAATTCTTTGAAGATTTTGAATTGGATCTGTGTCTTAAGGAAGAGGAGGAGATTTACTGAAATCATGAATTTGTCATTGACCAGATTTACTTGTTAGAATTCTCACTATTACTTGTCCACAATTTTTACTTTTATAGTTTCATATAAAGATTTTAATTCTTAAAATGAGTGAATGAAAAAGATATGATTTATTTTTTTACTGAAATGTTGTGTGTTTTTTTTATGTACCAGTTTTAATTTTAAGATAAGGAATTACGTAGTTACATTTTTTTAACATGTATAAAGATCAGGAATTAAAAAAAGATTTTATTTTAATTCAGTCAAAAGAGATTTTATCCAATCAATAGTGCTACTTGAGTTTCAGGTTAATGTACAGTGTATGATATACTGAAAATTTAAACATTGTGTATAGTTTAACAATAGAAACAGATTTTGGGGGTGGGAATAAATAAAAAAATAGATGTCATGAAGAAAACATTTTTTCCCTATTTTCTTCTAGGAAAAAAAAGAACATTAAATATTTTGACATTATAGATGTTCAATTTACTTAAAATTACCAATTTAAAACTTGAAAGAGATTTGAACTAATTATACATGAAAGTAAATATAAGGAACATTTTTAGTGTATTAAACCTCTTGTAAAACTTTTGCTCATTCTAATTAATGTACAACATCAATTCCTCATTTCCTGTTGCAATAAAAATAGATTTACCTAGAAGTAGAAATATTTTTATTAGCAGTCCAATTCAAACATTAATGGTACCCAGGGAAGGCAATTTTGATTTGAAGTTACCATATAGAAATAATTTTCATACTTTAAGAAAAAAAAAACTCTACAAAAAATGTAAAGCGTCTTCCCTGGATCTCATATTTGTTTAATGGATCAGTCTTTGTAAAAGTCAGAAATCATGGCTAAAGATCAGTCTTATTTGAATAAGAATTTGAAAAAGAAAAAAAAAATTGTAAAACAGAAAAAGTATAAAAAAAGAATTTCATTGGTATATATGCATGTAGTGTTTAATGAATGTTGTGTCAGATTGGAATTGTGTGAAGAAATCTAAAAAAATTACATTGGAACAATGGAATAATACAATATTACTAGAAAGAAGTTAAAGTCCATTTCACCCCATCATGATTTATATGAATTAATAATACCAAACATAAACAAAAAAAAAAGATATAGAAATGACAAAAATGTTGTTTTACTAATGTCCACATTGTTAACAGAATATACTAGTTTTTAAACATCTGAATATGTAGTAGTAATAATCAGCTTTAGCTTTGACCTAAAATATGGTTTTACAAGTAACATGTAAAATATTTTGTATATTGGAATCAAAATTTAATCATATGTGGTTCATGTTTTTAAAAGAATTTGTATTATAGAGCTGGTACAAAATTTTACAGGATGACTACTGAGTTCTGCAATTTTAGGGACGCTGATATTAAGGAAACTGGACTAAGACAGAAAAGCATTTTATTTAAAAGAATATTTTTATGGCTGTTCCAAATGAACTGTATAAATGTTTGGGATGACATTTTAATTGAAAAACTTTTTATTTTTTTTTACACATTCTTTTTTTTAATGCTTTTCAAAGAGTTATATATTCAATGTATTTGATGATGTACCTGTTGAAAAAAAACATTAAAAAATAAATTTATAGCAATACAAGACATTCTGTTTTATTTCAATGGTGAAATAGAGACTTGAGTAGATTGATAGCTTAAAAGGATCCTTATTAAAGACAAGAATGTGCTGTTATTCCCAATCATATACAAATTGCAAAACAATTAAGCTCATTTAGCTGAAAAACAAAGAGTAAACATCCAAATGAAACAAAAAAGATACTGCAGATATCAAAAGGACACTCAAAATTCACAAGTTAAAGAAAGACAAAACCAATGCAAAAAGTAAAATGATAAAAAAAACAGTACAAAACACTACATAGAAAACTAAAGACTCAGCAACACAAACCCAACCAAAAACAAGGGTGATCTCAGGTGTTCCAAAAGGGTAGGCAGATCCTGCTCCACATGTGATACCTGTCATGTTGCTCAATTTTTTTTCTGTCTATTGGAAATAACATAAAAAATGTGGTGCACACTTTAAAATTCATTGATGAGTCATTCGGTGATGTTACAATAAATTGTGAAATATTATAGATGTTTTTATACCCCCGCTTTAAAAAAGTGGGTGTATACTGTTTTACCTCTGTCTGTCCGTCTGTCCCATGAATATTTTTCTTCGCATTTTTCTCAAGAACTACATTACAAGGATTTCTGAAATTTGGTTTCAGGGTTTATTTGAGTCGGCTATACCATGTGATGCGTTTTCAGATTCATCACTCAACAACTTCCTGTTTACCTTATACTTTTAGCGGGGCGGGGGTATCATTAGTGAGCAGTAGCTCACAGATTCACTTGTTTTCCCTCATTTATGTTGTGGCTAAAGGGGATGTTGCAGAATAAAAACTTTCAAACTGATCTTTCATGTCTCAAAATTGGATTATATATCATTGTTAAACTTGAACTTGTTGAGTCGTAGGAATTAAATTTGGCAGTTCATTCAAACTGAAATCTTAATAATTTAATTTTGGATGTAACACGTCTTCTGATTGGCTGACATTGTTTTGTTTATCAGCTCATAGACATAATTTTGTCATGTGACCGTGACGTCATCAATGTTTTTTCATGGTTTACTCGGGTTTAAAATGGAATTTAGAATTAAATTATAAGAAATGACTGTAATATTTTTTTTCTGTCTATTGGAAATAACATAAAAAATGTGGTGCACACTTTAAAATAACCCGCTACGCGGGTTATTCAGTGTGCACCACATTTTTGATTGTATTTCTTCATAGACAGAAAAAATATTAGTCATTCCTTTAAGATACAAGATGATGGCTGTGGATTGAAAAAGCAGACAGTATGAAAATATATATTATATCAAAAAGCTTAAGAACTCTTGATGGATCTAAAATCCAATTTGGCTTGGTTGTGTGAAATGCAAAACCTGCTATTATGGAATAGTTTATCTAACTTCTCCATTGTGTAAGAAACATTCTTTGCAACATGGCCATTTGAGTTATTCATTCATCTTCTTGTGTAAAACCTGCAAACTGCAAAGATTTATTGAAGCGACCAGCATAAAATTGGTCATAGATAGAGAAGGCTTTACATTGTAATATTGATTATTGTGATAAGAACTGAAACTTGACCAATTCAGGGTTAGAATTTTTTTATAATAGTCATCGGGAGAAGTACCAACTGGATTTAACTAGATAATTATTGTTCAATCTTCTTTGTACTTGTAGAATTTCAAATATCAAAACATATTCAATGACTGAATGAACAACACATGAAATTCACACATGAGTGAATTATCACTTGTTAGGCCATGAGTTGAATATTTTTGTTGTCTATAGTTATAGATCTTAACGTATTTGTCTTTTAAGGAATTTGGTGTTTGTGGCAGATCTTCATTAGTGGTCTGTTAAATTTATTCTTAACTTTTAGATCGATTTAGAGCTTGACATTGTATAAACATTTGTCTATTGTTGAGGATTGCTTGTTGACCTCTGGATGTTTTGGTTATTGTCTTGAGAGATTGATGCAAATCTGGTGGAGGTGTTAACAATCTGTTTAAAACTTAATATTTCAGAAGGAAGATAAGCTGGATAACGCACTGCCTTATTGTTTCAAGTTTTTTTTTTCTGGCATGTCTGTTGTTCATTTTAATGGTTCTGTAATTGTTTTAAAAAGTTGTTAGTGGTGTAGCTGTAACAGTCTTATCTATGTTAAGGTTCATGTGGACCTTATGGCTAAAATGGCTGTGTTTACTCCAAGTACAGACAAACCTGTGCATCTGGAATAGTTTAAAGGCATAGCATGCCCTAGATAAACAAAATTCAAATGCATTTTATGTTTTTGAAAATTAAAAACTTAACTGGATCTTGCTGTGCACTTTTTTAGCTCACTTGGCGTCCGTCATCGGTCGTCGTCATTAACTTTTTATATTTTGAAATTCTAGAGAACCACTGAATGGAATGAAACCAAACATGGCATGAATATTCCTTATGAGGTACTGACCAAGTGTTGTTACTTTGTAGCCGATTCATCATTGAAGATGGCCACCAGCGGGGGACTTCGTTTAACATAGGACCATATGGGAAATACATACAAATGTCTTCTTTTAAAGAACCACTGAATGCAATGAAACCATACATGGCATGAATGTTCCTTATGAGGTGCTGACCAAGTGTTGTTACTTTGAAGCTGATCCATCATCCAAGATGGCCACCAGAGAGGGACTTAATTTAACATAGGACCCTATGGGAAATACACACAAATGTCTTCTTTTAGAGAACCACTAAATAGAATGAAATAAAACATGGCATGAATGTTCCTTATGAGGTGCTGACCAAGTGTTGTTACTTTGAAGCTGATCCATCATCGAAGATGGCCACCAGAGAGGGACTTAATTTAACATAGGACCCTATGGGAAATACACACAAATGTCTTCTTTTAGAGAACCACTAAATAGAATGAAATAAAACATGGCACGAATGTTCCTTATGAGGTGCTGAACAAGTGTTGTTACTTTGTAGCAAATCCATCAACCAAGATGGCTGCCAAAGTGGGACTTAGTTTAACAAAGGACCCTATGGGAAATATATACAAATGTCTTTTTCTAGAAAACTGCTTCATGGATTGAAACCAAACATGGTATGAATGTTTCTTTTGAGGTGCTGAACAAGTGTTGTTACTTTGTAGCTGATTTGTCATTGTGCTTATAAAGTCATTTTTTACAATTTCAATGAATTTATTGGTAATTTCTGTAAACTTTACAAAAGTCTTCTGCTTTTGTTTAAAATAAGGGGCCATTATTAAACCAAATTTGGCCTCAATCATTATAAGGGTATGATTTTAGTCTATATTTACATGATTTCCAAAACCAAAGTAGAATCAGGTGAGTGACACAGGCTCTTGAGAGCCTATAGTTTTTCATCCCTGCATAAGATGATAAAACTAGACATCATTAAGATGGGAGCCATCTCTGTGGGCCTCGCTGTAAATAATGTGTGGTAAAAAATTTGTATGGATAAGCTGATATGGAGCACTTTTACCATTCTTCAGTTATTACATAGTCTCATTATGTGCTGAGAGTGATTTTATTCTATATATTTTAGTTAAAAGTGTTATATTTGGCCTAGGAAGTTGTACATACATTATGACACACCCTCTAGTGTTGGTTAATATACATGTCAAGTATAAACTTTAAAATTATAACGGTTCGCAAGATATACAGTGGACACGATCTTTACAATAGGACATGGGGTTGTCAACTAAAACCAAAGTTTTTGACCTTGAAAATTTACCAAGGAAGTTGTACAAACATTATGACACACCCTCTAATGTTGGTTAATATACATGTCAAGTATAAACTTTGAAATCGTAATGGTTCTCAAGATATAGAGCAGATATGATCTGTACCATAGGACATGGGGTTGTCAACTGAAACCAAAGTTTTTGACCTTGACCTTTGACCTAGGAAGTTGTACATACATTATGACACACCCTCTGGTGTTGGTTAATATACATGTCAAGTATAAACTTTGAAATCATAACGGTTCTCAAGATATACAGCGGACCATTCTTTACCATAGGACATGGGGTTGTCAACTGAAACTAAAGTTTTTGACCATGAACTTTTACCTAGGAAGTTGTACAAACATTATGACACACCCTCTGGTGTTTGGTTAATATACATGTCAAGTATAAAGTATGAAATCATAAAGGTTCCCTTGATAAAGAGCGAATACAATTTGTTATGGACGGACAGATGGACGAACTGAAACCAAAGTTTTTGACCTTGAACTTTGACCTAGGAAGTTGTACAAACATTATGACACACCCTCTAGTGTTGGTTAATATACATGTCAAGTATAAACTTTGAAATCGTAATGGTTCTCAAGATATAGAGCAGATATGATCTGTACCATAGGACATGGGGTTGTCAACTGAAACCAAAGTTTTTGACCTTGACCTTTGACCTAGGAAGTTGTACATACATTATGACACACCCTCTGGTGTTGGTTAATATACATGTCAAGTATAAACTTTGAAATCATAACGGTTCTCAAGATATACAGCGGACCATTCTTTACCATAGGACATGGGGTTGTCAACTGAAACTAAAGTTTTTGACCATGAACTTTTACCTAGGAAGTTGTACAAACATTATGACACACCCTCTGGTGTTTGGTTAATATACATGTCAAGTATAAAGTATGAAATCATAAAGGTTCCCTTGATAAAGAGCGAATACAATTTGTTATGGACGGACAGATGGACGAACTGAAACCAAAGTTTTTGACCTTGAACTTTGACCTAGGAAGTTGTACAAACATTATGACACACCCTCTAGTGTTGGTTAATATACATGTCAAGTATAAAGTATGAAATCATAACGGTTTTCTAGATAGAGAGTGGACATAATTTGTTATGGATGGACAGACAGACGGATGGATGGACAGACTGATCACTATAGGGCGACCCGCCACTAGGCGGGGACCTAGTTAACAAACACTTGAGTTTCACTTTATATGGTCCACTCAGTTACACTGATTATATCTGTTGTTCCTCTATTGTCCATTTCAATCAATACAGTTTACTTCAATTATATTACCTATGGGGAAGTTCTCAAATATCTTTCCCAACTTTGTTTATTTTGGCACTTTCTGTAGAAACGAAAAAAGTGCACAGCAAATTCCAGTTAAGTTTTTAATTTTCTACAACATAAAATGGATTTGAATTTTATTTATCTAGGCATTCTTTGCCTTAAAAATATTCCAGATGTACAGGTTTGTCTGTACTCAGAGTAAATTTTGAGGTGTAAACAGCCATTTTTGCCAAAAGGTCCATATTAACCTTTAACATTTTATGTTTCTCCTCATACGCTTCCTAGTTCCCTTATCAGCTCATCTTGCCCTATGGACCATGTGAGCTACTGCCATTGTTGTAACCTTTTTTAAACATCTCTGAAACCTTTGTTCTAATTTCAACCACACAGGCTAAATGATCCTTAGGGTATCTAGTAAAAAGTTTGTGTTTTGGTTCCTGCCGATCACCCAACATCGCCCCATTACTCAAAATACAAAATAAGGGTAAAACACAACTCGAAAACAACAATAGATACAGAACAGCTGACAGGAGCAAAAATCACACGCACCTTTGTTGGTAAATGTAGCATGAAAGTGAGGTCAAGGTCAGATGGACATGTAACCATCACAGTTATTCTATGAAAATGACATTGGGGACAACAGACACGTATGACTGAAACTTCAGTTTCACGTGTATACTAAGTGGCATTGTAATAAGAAACTGATAACTTTTGTTTTTGATAGCTGTATTTAAAATCACAGGTATCTCATAAACTATAATAACATATAAAATATACATAATATAATTAACTGATGACTTAACATTGAGATGATTATAATGGTAATGTGTCAAAATTCTTTGTATACTTTGTAGAGAAAAATGAAAATTTTTGTGATTTAAAAGTATACCAAACTTCTAAGTAAAGCAAAAGTTTTGAATCTGCACCAAACTGTTAATGACTTTTTTTTATCTAAGGTAGGATCAAGCCTAAGATTATTGTTTGAAATATTTGTAATTGGATCACAGATACTGTTCAGAACAATTATGAAAGAAATTGGTCCAAAATTTATTTGTTTACTGCTTATTCGAATCATAAATTTCTTTAATTCTTTTCAAATGTTTTATTAAGAGATTAAAGGGGATCAGTACTTCTCTGATCTTATATATAAATGCAAATCTGTTCCTTAATCTTTTCGAGAATTATGAACAGAATTGTCTATAAACCCACAAAACTACACAAATGTATCAGATTTTCTTTTTTTCTTCAAAACTTTGCAAGCTAAGAAATAAAAATATACTGGTTCATTAAAATACACATATCATTTATCAATCCTTTAACAATAGAGGTGCAGTTGTAATTTGTTGACCCATTTGTCCAGAGAAATACATGAATAATTTGAAAATCCATATGACCAGAGATCTGTATAACATTAAGACACATTTAACCTGAGAATTTTGAAACATTACCAGTACTGATGGAATTGTTCCTGACTACAATGTTAACTGATGTATTGCTATATATTATGCTTTACAAAAGTTGATTTTACAGAAAATTGAAAAACTGCATTGAAATAAAATGAACACAAGTTTATAGTTAAATGCAATATAAAATTATAAAGATCAGCCTTGTAGAAATTTCATTATTAATGATCAGCATGTGTGATATGTAACCTTGACAGATTTGGGTATCTTCTTGCTACATGTATAGTATCCACAATTTTTATTTTCAACCAAAATTGCAAACACTGAAATTTTTATTATTTCTACCGTTTTTTCAATGAAAGTGATATTTTTATCAAATATACACATTTAAACATTATATACTCTATGTGCTTAAAGTTCAATTTAAAATATAATGTTTGAAGACATTATAGAGTTATATGTTTCTTCTCTTCTACTGAAAATAAGATCAACAGTTAAAATTTGGATCTCAGTATTTTTGAAGATATTGTGTTATTCTCTGCTGTTTATTTTGTGGTAATGTTCCATTCCATGAGGCATTGGATATTAACTAATTAAAACATTTCATCCAGATGGAAAGCATTAACATTATGGTTTCACAATACATTCTTTGCACTGAACCAAAAATAAATAAAGAGACAAAACTCAAAACTGCATTTTGCATAAATTCTACAAATAAATTAAAGGCACTTAACAAACACAACTAACATAAAATATACAAAAAAGTATCTGTTTTTGTGTCAGAAATGTAACTTAACTTTCTGTTTTACTTGTAACCATTCAAATACATGTAAATCTGGGTAAAAAATCATAATGCATACCCTTCCACATAAAAGTAATGGATTTCATATATAAAGTAAAGACAACTCAAATACAAGAACTTTTTATTTCCTTGTAAACTACTATTTAGTGCTATTCCATTTGAATATATTTAGGATTTGAGTAAGATGTTTATCTCGGGTACTTATTCTACAATGGACCTAAAAATAGAAATCTTAACATATTAGTTTTTCGTTAATTGTTTTGTGATGAATTAGGCCGTTAGTTTTCTCAATTGAATTGATTCGTATTTTTCATGTGGAGGCCTTTTATAGCCGACTATACTGTATGGTTTTTCTCATTGTTGAAGGCCATACTGTTGCCTATAATTGCTTTCATCCACTTCATTTGAACTTTGGTGAATAGATGTCTCATTGACAATCATACCACATCTCCTTTTTTTTAATACTTATTTCTTTTAAGATAAAAATTTAAAAAGTAGAATTTGCAGTACTGTTAGATTATTTTTATAAATAATCATGACTGAACAATGATGTCATATCACAGTGTTTACTTCATCTCAAACACAAAAATAAACAAAAAATATCTAAACACAAAACTATATGTTGTAGTCTGACATAATTAAAAGAAAAAAGGTCTGACTTAAGCTGTCTTACAGTATCACATACTCAATTTCATACCGGTATACAAATAAATATTACCCAATTACATTTCCCCTTTACAACCTATTCATTTTACATCAACAAAAGTGAATCTCTTATTGTTTAAAATGTCTTACATTCTATAACACTGCATAGAAAACACATAATATTGACATCAACTACTGTAAATTCAGAAATGTTTGTGTTGTTTTTATAAAAGCATGTATAAATATTGTGACTGAATGAGTATTGCATAAGTCAGAACATGTATTCAAAATCCTGTTGGCATTATCTGAATGCAGCAAATTCCAGTAGCATTAAAATGTTGTCTATAATCACTCACACATTTATTAATAAATGCAGACAATAATTTCTGAATAATAATGAAAGCATTTAAAAAAATTTGATGCATGCACGAGTTTTAATGATAGCAATATTCATTTTGCCTTTTTTTTTCCATTGATAAAAACATACGTTTAATTTCTGATTTTGCGTTAAAGCTGAGAACATTGTTCTCATACAGTTCTCATACATGTAAGTCACTGTTTAGTGTGAATAAATGATGACCAATATCAATACAATATAAAAACAAAAGAAGCTCCCACCTACTGGTAGATTTGCTGTATAAAAATGCATAAGCCATGTTGCATAATACACAAAAGAGGAAAAGGGTCTGGATGAGGGTACTTCATTTCTGTATGGTCTTTAATTTTTGAGCCCATTTATCTCTTATTCTTTATATTTTAGTTCCTTATTATTCTTTTATATTTTTTGCCTTTTATTCTGCACTTTTTGGCCATTATTCTCTGTTCTGTAAACCTCATCCAGACCCTCGTGGAAGAGATTGATTGTAAGGAGTAGACTTTTATAATAGGGTTTAAATGTGATATTTAAGTAGTTATCCATTCAATAATTTGGTACACCTTAAGAAATGGTATACTTATTTGATTTTGCCATTAATGTATGATAGATATACTAAACTTTCCATGGAAGACCATTCTGAAATGTTGTAATATTGGCTACTGCACTTTTAAGCAATCAATCAAAAGGAATGAAAGAATCATTTTTGTATTTACTATATATAACTAAGTTCTCCTTCCCTTTTCTTTTATTTCAAAGGAGCATTAAAAAGAGTTTTTATCAAAGAGCATAGCTGAATTGGTAATACTATATATATAAAACCTAAATATAGGCTTCATAAAAGTAATCTACCGTTTGATTCTTAGAAAAAGAAGTTAATAAAATTTTAACAATTTTTAAGTACTTAAGGGACAAAATTATTCCTAAAAAAAATAGCATGGTGTTGTTAGTTATCTTTTTCAAATTGTATTGTTCTTTTGAAAACCAATAGGAAAAGGCATGTTCTTTTGAAAACCAATAGGAAAAGGCATGTTCTTTTGAAAACCAATAGGAAAAGGCATGTTCTTTTGAAAACCAATAGGAAATGGTATGTTCTTTTTTCCATAATAGAGAGTACCAGTATGACTTCAACCTAACACAACTTCCCTTTCCACAAGTCAAATATATTAAATTATAGTAAAAGCTATGAAAAAAAATGCTAGCTGCTAAAACCTGCACTGCTCAGTTGTCAATGTTTTCGCCAGTTCTGAAAAGATTGGAGATCCAACACTAAAAGCCATGTGTTTAAACAACAATTCAAAAACCCTAGATTAAAAAGTTACACTGTCGAAGAGATTTTATTGTGTAATACCATTCTTAAAATGTTCTGTTATTAACAAATAAACCTAAAACTATATCTTATAGAATTTATATAAATGCATGCTAAACAAGAATAACATTTTAAACAAAATTTAACAAGTTACAATCATATAACAACATGTTGTATTTTCACGCTACTTTGCATGTGCATAGTTATTTTTGTCTTTCGAATTATTCATGTGAAGGGGCATCTGTGGCATGAACATAGGAAATGGCATTCTAGGATACATATTATGGTCTCTTTGCATCATTTCTTCCAAGGCGGCTACTTGTGTGGCTCGGATTTGTGCTTCATATAACTGTTGTAATTGTGAAGGAAACATGCCAGGCTGGGGGACAGGCGATCGTAGAAAATGTTGTGGGAATGCTGGGTGAACTGGTGATATCACAGATGGCTGACTGCAAGGAGATGTTGTCTGTAAAATGTCTCCCTAAAATAAAATAACACTTGTATTAAATATTGTCAAAAACCTTTTTTTAAACTTGAACTAAAAGTTTCAATTCTTTCATTACCAAATTTGTGATGGAAATAATCATTTACTGTATTCACACAATTTTGATAATGCTACCCTTCACGGAGACGCTTGATCAAGTGTGCGCTTTATTAAATACGACTCTATCCTATGGCAAATACTCTATTACCCTTCACGGAGACGCTTGATCAAGTGTGCGCTTTATTAAATACAGATGGTTGTTATGTACAAGACGTCGTAGTTTATTACTTTGAATTTGAAATTTAATCGACAGTAATAACAGAACATTCAGTATAATAAATTAAATAACACATATCTGAGAGGGTGATAGAGCAGATTGTTACCCCTCGAAAAGACATTGTCAAATGTCAACCTTGGCTTCGCCTCAGTTGACAAATGTTTTCTCGGGGTAACAATCTGCTCTATCACCCTCTCAGCTATGTGTTATTAATATATTGGTGGTTACCAAAAAGCATGTTATAAATTTTCTTTTGAAGTTTATAACTAGCACATCAACATACTTTTATGCTTATTGAGGAACTATTTTTTTTATCATTCTACTAGCAAAATCAATTTCATGTTATCGAAACTTTCAAATTGCATTCATTTTTCAAGACTTTCATCTTATAGTATAATATTAAATCAAATGAAAATACTGATTAATTTGACTTTTCTAAAGTTAAAATAATGTTTTATCAGCAATTTGTACATTTTCCCTTTGATCTTACTGCCTAATATTTTTAAGATCATGGACAGGACTTGATACTCGAAAATATTAGGCAGTGACGTCATGTATGAGTGCAGCAATGTCACATGCTCAACTCTATCAGCGTCAATTTGTCAATAAAATGCATGCAACTTCATTCATACAACTGAACAACTATCCAAATTGTATGTGTGAAATAAGTTTTACTTGCTATTTGATTTTACTTCATATTCTCAACCAAAAATACATACAGTTAAAACAAATTGCTGATAAAAAGAAAACAAAAATGCCATTATTCTATATATATTTGTATTAAAATGTAAACATGTAATAACATATACATGTTAGCAAACTCTCTTTTTATATTTGAGTTATTTGGCTGCTGTCACATTTGGTATAACCCAAAGTATACAGATAAAATTAATACAAATTACATCACATTTATATATAGAAATACCTTTGTTGAAGAGTGACTTGAGGGGGAGCTGAACACCGGAGATTTATTACTGAACACATTACTTGGAGACGAACTTCTCTTGGAGAAAACCGGTGTCTTCAGTATATTAGCCATAGAATGTTTAGGTAAGTTCAAGGTCATTTCTAACCTCTGGGATTTCACTGAACTGTCTTTCGAACTTGAAGAGGAGGACTGCTGCCGTAACACATTATTATCTGAATTGCTTTCACTTTTTTTGCATAAAGTTTTCATACTGAGATCCTGAGGCTGTTCATCTTCTGTTGCACTTTTTGTTTTTGAGTTCACAGATGTATCACTATCTTTTCTCATTCTCTTTGAAGTTTCAAAGTCAAACAATAATGATTTATTTGATAAAGACTTAGAATGACTTGGAATGTCATACTTCGGTGAATACAAAGATTCATGTGACCTTTTTTGATGTGCATGAGCTGGAGGGGTAATTGGCGACTTGCCAGGCAGTTGTGATGGTATATTGCTGTGATGATTATTAGTGTGAGCTGGTTGCTGAAATAATGCTAGGGCTGCCATTTTGTCTTGCTCCGTGGTTACAGATGAAACATGAAATGATTTAGGCAATCCAGTAGGACTTCTTAAAATGTTAGGTCGATGAACTGGTTTAGCTGCTGGTAAATTGGGTTGAAGGTACTGCTGCATTGCCATTGGTAGTTGATTAATTATAGGTAATCCAAGAGGATGCATAGCTCCTAATTGCACAAACGGATGAGGATAAAACATTTGTTGTGAGGGATGATGAGGCCCACAAAGGGATATTGCCGGGTTAGCTTGAGATAATATCTTGTTTTCTATTTTAGCACTAGTTGATTGCACATCTGGAGGTCTGAACAGTTTTGATTGGTTAGCCACATGCTTTGTTGGCGATGCCAATAAATCGGAAGGTTCTTTTTTCACGGCTGTTATATCTATCTTTGCTTCACAGACATTTTCGCTTGTTTCCTCTGTCTGTTTATTCTCCTTCGATGATTCCACTTCTGATTTGGACTTGTTAGCCATTGCACTATTGAGAATGTTTTTAACTGTTCTAGGGTTAGAACTGCCTCTTTTAACCTAAAAATTGAGGCAATTATTTTAGAAGTTTGAAAATCATGATAAAACAATTATAAATGCACCTATATATTCATTGATCTATTCTAATATGACGTTTTTCTTTTGCTTTGTTAACAAAGGCTTTTTCCAATTCACTAAAGCATTTGGTACACATGCTTGAAAGTTGACCCAATTAAAGCGCCATGTTGTATTTATAATCCTTGACCATAATTTTTCATCTTCACAGGAGTTTTGTGAAGAATATTGCAACTATAACTATAAAAATGGACAATGTAGCAATTGATATGATGTTTCCATTGATATGAAAACTGTGGAGTCCAAATTTTGGGGAAAATGTATTTATTTATCAAAACTGAACTGAAAAAGCTTTGTTTTCATTGTTATGTATTTTCATTGTTATGTATATCATTAAAATGAAAAGGGATTGACAAAAAGGGTAAGATAGAAACTGTAGACATTATCATTGTTTGTGAATTTAGGATACTGTTTAATTTCAACTTTCATCCTTAATAAAAGAGGAACATACAAAAAGTATTGAAATGGTTGATTACTTTAAACTATTTCAAGTTTATTTAATTAAATTATCAAATTTTCAATTATGACATAAACACACAACATTGAGAGTACCTTATCTCTATCTTTGGCCTTCTGATTCCTTAATTCTTCCCATTTTAATGCTTTTTCTTGTAATTTTAACTTAAATCTTTCTCTCTAAAAGAGAAAAAACGTAAAATTAACAATAAATACTTCTTTGAGTCAAAGTGATATTCTCATTTTTTAATTAACTTCATTATTCAAAACATTTGCATTACAAAATATATTTACTCCTGTAATGAAAACATTTTTGTTGGATGTATTGCTTCTCTTATATAAATTATGTAGAAAATCATCATTTCATATGAATTTTTCAATGATTTAGTCAGAAAAAATAAGATTATTTTTCAAATCAATGGAAAAATAAAATGCTCCGCTGGGGCGCAGCTTGATACGACCGCAGAGGTCGAACCCTGAACAGTTGGGGCAAGTATGGACACAACATTCAAGCTTGATTCAGCACTGAATTTGGATTGTAATTAAATATTTGACACAGCATAGGTTTCTGACACAGAATGAAAGTGGTCTAAAAACTTAAAAATTTTTAATTTACCTATTCAAACCATATCATTATTATTTGCTTTTATATATAAATCAGAAATAACCAATTTAAAATGGAAAATTTTAAAGAAAAAAAGGAAAAAAAAATCCCCACCCAAAATTTTTTGAACCCCCATACTCCATCCCAGCCTTCCCTTTGTGGTATGGTACCTTGCAGTACAATTTCAGAGAGATCCATACACTTGAACACAAGTTATTGTCTGGAAACTAGAAAAATGCTTGTTTTTTGGTCCCTTTTTGACCCCAAATTCCTAAACGTTTAGGGCAATTACCCCCAAACTCAAACCCAGCTTTCCTTTTGTGATATGGAACCTTGCAGTACAATTTCATAAAGATCCATACACTTACACACAAGTTATTGTCCTGGAACTAGAAAAATGCTTGTTTTTTTGCCCTTTTATGGCCCCTAATTACTAAAATGTTGAGGGAGGTACCCCCAAAATATATCCCAGCCTTCCCTTTGTGGTATGGTACTTTGCAGTACAATTTCAGAGAGATCCATACACTTGAACACAAGTTATTGTCTGGAAACTAGAAAAATGCTTATTTTTGGCCCCTTTTTGGCCCCTTATTCCTAAACTTTTTGGGCAATTACCCCCAAACTCAATTCCAGCTTTCCCTTTGTGATATGGAACCTTGTAGTACAATTTCCTAAAGATCCATACACTTACAGACAAGAAATTGTCATGAAACTAGAAAAATGCTTGTTTTTTGCCCCTTTTTTGCCCCTAATTCCTAAAATTTGGAGGCAATTACCCCCAAAATCAATCCCAGCATTCCCTTTGTGATATGGAACCTTGTGATACAATGTCAGAGAGATCCATACACTTACACACAAGTTATTGTCATGAAACTAGAAAAATGCTTGTTTTTTGCCCCTTTTTGGCCCCTAATTCCAAAAATTTGGAGGCAATTACCCCCAAAATCAATCCCAGCATTCCCTTTGTGATATGAAACCTTGTGGTACAATGTCAGAGAGATCCATACACTAACACACAAGTTATGTCTGGAAGTTACAAAAAGGCTTATTTTTGGCCCCTTTTTGGCCCCTAATTCCTTAACTGTTGGTACAATAACCCCCAAAATCAATCCCCACCTTCCTTTTAAGGTATTGGACCTTATGGTAAAATTTCATTGAGATCCATTCACTTAAACTAAAGTTAGAGTGCGAAAACTAATATGCTTCGGACGACGACGACGGACGACGACGCCAACGTCATACCAATATACGACCACAAAAATTTTTTTGCGGTCATATAAAAAGTGAAAAACTTTTTCTAATTGAAAAAAAAACTTTAGCATGAAAACACAATAACAGTTTATTCAGTCTAAAACTAATTGCACTTTATTTTCTAAGTCTTGTAATGTCAAATTTTAATAAACTGCTTTGCTGAGCGCAGCTGGATACGCCCGCAGAGGTCTAACCCTGAACAGTTGGGGCAAATATGGACACAATATTCAAGCTTGATACAGGTCTGAATTTGGATTGTAATTAAATATTTGACATACATCTATTATAGGTTTCTGAATAAATGTAGTCAAAGAACTTGAAGTTGGTTATATGAATTGAATTTATATTCAATTAAAGATTTCTTGCTGTTGTGCAATACACTGTGCTGTTGCGCAATACTTAGTAAATCTGTTGTCAGACTATAAACAAATAAAATTTATAAAATTCTAAAGGGAGCTTACATCAATAGATATAAACAGTTCACCAAAGTTTCATACGAATTGCTGAAAGCATTTTTGAGTTTTTGTCTGAAAACTGGAAAATCCCCCTTTTTTAATGAATAAACCCCATAATTCGGAAATGTAAAATGTAAAATTTATAAAATTCTAAAGGGAGCTTACATCAATAGATATCAACAATTCATCAATGTTTCATGAGAACTGCTGAAAGCATTTTTGAGTTATTGTCCGAAAACTGAAAATCCCCTTTTTTTTATGAATAAAACCCCATAACTCGGAAACGTAAAATCTAAAATTTATAAAAATCCAAAGGGAGCTCATGTCAATAGATATAAACAATTAACCAAAATTTCTTGCAAGTTGGTGAAAGCATTCTTGAGTTATTGTCCGAAAACTTGAAAATCCCCCTTTTTTTAATGAATAAAACCCCATAACTCAGAAACGTAAAATCTAAAATTTATAAAAAACGAAAGGGAGCTCACATCAATAGATATAAACAATTCACCAAAGTTTTAAGCAAATTGGTTAAAGCGTTTTTGAGTTAATGTCCGACATGTTGACGACGGACGGACGGACAGACGGACGTACAACGGTATACCATAATACGTCCCGTAAACGGGCGTATAAAAACAGTTATTCTTAATGATGATGTAAAAATTCTTTTGGGTAATCTTTAATGATTTAGAGATTTTCATATTTTATGTTACTACAGGAGTGTTTCACATCCTTGACTACCCATCAAGGTCTCACATGGTTAATCAACATATTGTATAGACATCCGTCTTATGTTGAAAGCTGTATGTTGACCTCAGGATGTCATTTGGTTTTTTGTGTTGTTGGGTTGCTGTCTAATGTCAAAGACTGTATGTTGACCTCTGGATGTTTTTTGTGTAGTTGGGTTGCTGTCTCATTGACGTATATCTCACATCTCCTTTTATATACATAGTTATAAATATCTCTCAATATATTACCAAATTTACCCGTTTGATACGATTCATCAATTTATCTTCTGACACAACTGTTGGAGATTCTTTCATAACCTCTTTTGGTGATTCCCTCATCTCTGTCTTATCTGGGGTAGTTTTCTTTTCCTTGTCTTTTGGGGGCCGTCCAAGGGGTTTTCCTGGAGGTCTACCAAGAATCTTACATTTTTTGGATTTCAGTGGAAGAGGTCTGTTAGCTAAGTCTCCTCTTGTATGCCTCTCATAAGGCAACAGAAGTCTTAAAAAAGAAATAATTATACATGTATAACTTTAATTCAAAATTTAGATGTGATAAATGCTTCAAAGAATAAAATCTTTAAGTAATAAGTTTAAATCTTATTTAAGAACTATGTAAATCAGAAGTGAGTATATATATATATATATATATGAAAACCTTATGGAAATTTTTTTTATTCTGAAAAAATATCAAAACAAATAATCTTTCATATTACTAAAATATTTACTTTTCATAATGTCTCCTAGTACAGGTGGCAGCACTAGTACTTCCTGGATTTCCACCAAGTATGTCATATAAATGTTTCCACATTCTTTTCTGTGTAATCTGGGGAAGAAAAAAAGAAATAATTAAAAGAATAATCTATCAAGAACTATTGTGTTCCAAATGGAAGTATAGATTTTTTACTGACCACTCTCAAAAATGTTTTTTTTTTTATTATGTTTATTTTATTTATATAATCTTGCCTTTCTAAATAAACTGCTTCGCTGAGCGCAGCTGGATATGCCCGCAGAGGTCCAACCCTGAACAGTTGGGGCAAAAATGGACACAATATTCAAGCTTGATACAGGTCTGAATTTGGATTGTAATTAAATATTTGATATATTATAGGTTTCTGAATAAATGTAGTCAAAGAACTTGAAATTGGTTATATGAAAGATTTATTGCTGTTGTGCACTACACTGTGCAGTTGCGCAATACTAAGTAAATCTGTTGTCTGACTATAAACAAATAAAATCTTATAACTCGGAAATGTAAAATCGAAAATTTAGAAAAATCAAAACGGAGCTTACAAAAATAGATATAAACAATTTACCAAAGTTTCATAAAAAATGTTGAAAGCGTTTTTGAGTTATTGTCCGAAAACTGGAAAATCCCCCTTTTTGTAATGAATAAAACCCCATAAATCAGAAACGTATAGTCTGAAATTTATAAAAATCAAAAAGGGAGCTCATGTCGATAGAAATAAACAATTCACCAAAGTTTCTTGCAAATTGGTGAAATTGTTTTTGAGTTATTGTCTGAAAACTTGAAAATCCCCCTTTTTTAATGAATAAAACCCCAAAACTTGGAAACGGTAAATCCGAAATTTATACAAAAAACGACAGGCAGCTCACATCAATAGATATGAACAATTCACAAAAAGTTTCATGCAAATTGGTGAAATTTTTTTTGAGTAATTGTCCGAAAACTGGAAAATCCCCCCTTTTTTAATGAATAAAACCCCAAAACTCGGAAACGGTAAATTCGAAATTTATAAAAATGAAAGGGAGCTCACGTCAATAGATATGAACAATTCACAAAAGTTTCATGCAAATTATTGAAATTGTTTTTGAGGTATTGTCAGAAAACTGGAAAATCCCCCCTTTTTTAATGAATTAAACCCCAAAACTCAACAAGAGTGCACACACTGAAATGTCTCGCCTTCTTTACTAATCATTGATATTATGTTGATAGTCCTAAATATAAAGCTTTATTACAACTGTCACATAAACTTAACATTAACCAAGAAAACTAAACATTGACCAATGAACCATGAAAATGAGGTCAAGGTCAGATGAACCATGCCAGGCAGACATGTACAGTTAACAATTCTTCCATATAAAAAATATAGTTGACCTATTGCTTATAGTTTAAGACCAAAACACAAAAACTTAACACCGAGCAATGAACTGTGAAAATGAGGTCAAGGTCATATAAAACCTGCGTGACTGACATAAAGATCATAAAATATTTCCTTACACCAAATATAGTTGACCTTTTGGATATAGTATTAGAAAAAAAGACCAAAACTCAAAAACTTAACTATAACCACTGAACCATAAAAACGAGGTCAAGGTCAGATGACACCTGCCAGCTAGACATGTACACCTTACAATCATTCCATACACCAAATATAGTAGACCTATTGCATACAGTATAAGAAAAACAGACCAAAACACAAAAACTTAACTATAACCACTGAACCATGAAAACGAGGTCAAGGTCAGATGACACCTGCCAGCTAGACATGTACACCTTACAATCATTCCATACACCAAATATAGTAGACCTATTGCATACAGTATAATTAATGTCTGACATGTTGACGACGGACGGATGGACGGACAGACAGACGGACAGATGGACGGACAGACGGTCAACGGTATACCATAATACGTCCCGTATAAGGGCGTATAAAAATGTTGCGTTTATTTTCATATCAAACTTGAAAGTATTCCGTTTATTCTTTTCTTTATAATACATACTGTGAATTCATTATTATTCGTGGAGTACAAAAATTGGTAATCACGAAAAAAAAATAAATCCACATTAAATAATTTAGTATTTTGCTGTGAAATAAATGAAGGATGACTTACAGCTGCATATCCACCAATCTTCATAGCATGAGACCAAAACATGTACAGATCAACTGAAATAAACCAGAATAAATACATTATATAGGGGTCATTTCTTTTGTACTGAACTCAAATTATATAGTTCAAATACTGGTAACCTAAAATAAGTGTAAGAGAGCAAGGAGAGTCAGAAAAACAAATTTATTTGTTAGACTTGTTGATAAAGGTTATAATTACATTGTATACTGTTGTTGTTAAATCGCTGCCTTGTATAAATATCAAATCACTAATTAATAGTTAGAAGCAATGCTTAAAAGTTTCTTTTGTTTTCTGTATAGTGTGTTTTGGACATTGTACAAGATCATGTATACCTGTACTGTACATAATGTTTCCAGATGCAATCTTCAATGAAGTACAACAACCGATATAAAGTGTAGCACACCATGATTTCATCTCATTCAATTACATACTTTGAGCTTGCTTTGAGTAACTGCAAGCATTCTTTCATAAGGCATAATTTATTATTTATTTTGTGTTTTTTCTTGTCTATTATACTGTTTTTTTAAAGATAAGAACTTTTCCTGTAATGGTTATTCTTGTATGTTCTTTGATGTGTTTCGTTAATCTACTTATTGAGATTGAAAAAAGAGTTGAGATCTCAAAAAACTAGTTAAACCCTGCTTAATTTCGTGTGCCTGTCCAAAGTCAGGATTCTTGTCATTACTTCTTGAATGACATATATAAATGTTTCTAATGGCAGATCTTTAATTATTTCTATTAAATTTATTCACAACTTTCATAGATTTAGAAACATTTGAAACTTGACATATTGTATAGAAACCAGTCGACTGTTAAAGATTGCATGTTTCCCTCTAAATGTCTGTTGATTTTGTTGTTGGGTTGATGACTCTATGAAAAACACCCCATATCTCCTTTTATTCATTTAGTCAAAGGATGAAGCTTATATTGCTTTCTTTGAAGAAATATATATGAATTCTATATAAGCTTGTCAATACTTACTCTGTTTAAACCCCAGAGATGGAATTCTACCAATTGGACTATTTCTCTTCTTCATAAACTTGTGAAGGCTAAACAGGAATTCTTGTTCATCTTTACTGACTCTCATTTTATCAATTCTAAAACCATTTCTCAATGCTGATTCTCTTTTCCCAGTCTGAAAAATTACAGTATAACAGCTATGAATCATTATATGAAGATTATTTGATTTTAAAATGTCAAACTCAAAATGTTCTAGTGTTTCTATTTACTGACTCAAACAAGAAGACATATGTGGCTGAAAAAAGATGGAGTGGGGCAAGAAGTTGTGGGTCAAAAAACCAGTTTTGCTTAATAAAAAGGAGTCTTCCACTAATTTTAAATTCATATACTGGGCTATATGTTCAATATATGAAAGCTTAACTTTACTCTCTAGTTTGTTAAAGGTTTTGACCTGAAAATTGAGGGGGATTATCTTCCCTATTCTGCTGCCAAATGACCATAGTGAAATTGGGTAAAAAAGCAATGATATCATTCCTTGAGAAAAATTGACAAAAACAGAAATGTATATTCATAGAGAAAATAGAATAATCATTTTTGGGAGGTTAAAGTTTACGATAAAATTCACTCCATATCATTTTATATCAAATAAATAATTTTACTTTTGTGTTCCAATGCTATGTTACAGTGCTTACATTGAACAAAATATCAAAACATATCACAATATATTATCACTATAGACGATATTGTTTTTTTTCATTAGTATCATTTACAAATGAACCCTTAGTTTAAGCACAGAATAAATTAGCAAGTTAAAATATGTGCATCAGGCTTATTATTTTAGTTTAAATTGTTATTATTTTAATTTAAATTTTAACTATATGTACATACACATGTTTGTACAATGATTTATTTCAATCATGATTAAGAATAAATTTTGTTGGAAATGATGCTCCTCCATAAATTAGACATTCTATCTTTTCATTCTTTTATCTGTAGTCATATTCACATCCAGAGTGTACCTTGTTTCTGTCAGGGTTATCTCCCTTTCAAACACTTGTGAAATTTCAACATGTTTGCATATTGATGTTTTACTTAAAATCATATGCAAGTTAGTACGAATGGTAATATCATGTTGATACTGCTATACTACACAAATACAATTAGATATGGCATTTATCACATATTTGAAATGAACTTTCATCGTATAAAGAATTATTATGGTATTGTGCCAAGCCGGTAAATATTGAAGACACCATTTGCATGGTGAATTAGTAGTTCAATATTAATCTAAATCTTTGAAAATTACTTTGAACAAATCGGAATGGAACATTTAATAGAACCTTTTTATCCACTATGTACTTCTTTCTCTATTTATACTATTCATACTACCGTAGGTTTACAAGGTCAGTACTAGTGAGGACTTACCTTTTCCTTTGGAACAGTTGGAATGGAGTACTCTGAAGAAACATCAGTACTAGTAGGACTTACCTTTTCCTTTGGAACAGTTGGAATGGAGCACTCTGAGGAAACATCAGTACTAGTAGGACTTACCTTTTCCTTTGGAACAGTTGGAATGGAGTACTCTAAGGAAACATCAGTACTAGTAGGGGCTTACCTTTTCCTTTGGAAGCTCTGAAGAAACATCAGTACTAGTAAGGATTTACCTTTTCCTTTGGAACAGTTGGAATGGAGTACTCTGAGGAAACATCAGTACTAGTAAGGACTTACCTTTTCCTTTGGAACAGTTGGAATGGAGTACTCTGAGGAAACATCAGTACTAGTAAGGACTTACCTTTTCCTTTGGAAGCTCTGAAGAAACATCAGTACTAGTAAGGATTTACCTTTTCCTTTGGAACAGTTGGAATGGAGTACTCTGAGGAAACATCAGTACTAGTAAGGACTTACCTTTTCCTTTGGAACAGTTGGAATGGAGTACTCTGAGGAAACATCAGTACTAGTAAGGACTTACCTTTTCCTTTGGAAACTCTGAAGAAACATCAGTACTAGTAAGGATTTACCTTTTCCTTTGGAACAGTTGGAATGGAGTACTCTGAGGAAACATCAGTACTAGTAAGGACTTACCATTTCCTTTGGAACAGTTGGAATGGAGTACTCTGAGGAAACATCAGTACTAGTAAGGACTTACCTTTTCCTTTGGAAACTCTGAAGAAACATCAGTACTAGCAAGGACTTACCTTTTCCTTTGGAACAGTTGGAATGGAGTACTCTGAGGAAACATCATTACTGTCAGATTCTCCATTTTCTCCCATGATAGATGATCTTTTCCTCCTTTTTCTTCCCTTCAAGTTTGGTGCTGAAATTGAAATCAAAACCATTAGTGTCTGTAAATTTTATAAATATACAAATATTGAAGGAGTTCAGAGTTCATTCTGAATTTTATGATTTGCCATATTTCAAAGGGGCTGTAATCTGACATAGAACATGATTGAAGGTTTGTTTACACATTATGTGTTGTCTATTGCATATTCATTTTCCGTACTTTAGAGTCAAGAAATAATATTCAAAAGTAGGAGTCATGACAAAATCTGCATTTCATAAATTACCTTAAACCAAAACTTTAAACTGATATGGGGCAGACAAACAGACAGACACACACACCCAAACACATTATGCCCCCTAATTTCATAGGCTGGGCATAAAATGGGTTTTGCATAAGAGGTCTAGGTTAAAAATATTGATTGATTGATGGGTATGACTCTGAGCCAAACAGTCTGCGGTCTTTTTCTAAATGTTGCATTCTTACATTCTTAGCATATAAGAAGCAGAACTCAATTCAAAATCTTTTGAAACCTTGAATTCCAGTACTCATGGCAAGCATATCACAAAGAGAACATAAATGCATGTTAAAATAATATGATATACCTAGATGTTCACAATTAATTTCTAAAGTTTCAAGATCAGCATCATAGAATGTTTCTCTACAGAACATTATTCTATTGTCCTTTGACTTAGATATTATTCCACCAATGGCACAAATTACGACACTTTTCAACCACTTGTCTTTAACATGCTCCAGTCGTCTCAACACAGCTCTGTATCTGCAGTATTGTGGATAACTTAAAATCGTCAGTTGTGTCGACGACTCACTCCTTGTGTAACCTAAAGAAACAACAAAATATTTATTTTACATATCAAATTTTTTAAAGAGACCTCTCTACACTGAAATCATATTTAGAGAAAATACTCAAAGGACATAGCTTGTAGAAATAATAAGTTCAACATTCTAATGTTGTGTCATATATTCTCACTTGATAAAAATCCCAGGGATGGAAAATTTATGTATCTGTTTCATAATTGGGTGCTTCACTGTCCAATATTTGTTTGTTTAATGTTTTTTGTGACTTTATTCTATATCTGCATAAAGAAATAAAACTGTTTTGCCTTTTGATATCAATACATCAGTCATGAAGTTCCTTAAGAAAAGACTGAGACATATTTGGCAACAACTTTTTCCTTCTTCTGAAAACCTTACTATAGTGCTATTTAATGTAGTTTTAGAAGTGATATTGTAGTGTTTTAGTCATATCACCATAAATAAACTTTCACAGTATTACAAGATTTTATATATATTTCTTTATGTAATCCAAGGGCATATGCTAATTCTGTTTCTGTTATAATATGACAATTTTATTGACCTCTAATTATTGATCTGCTTGAAATGTTGATGCAGCTCTTTAAATCAACCACATATTGAACTTTTGAATCGTTTATTTTATAAGAAAATGTTTTAGAAACATTTTTTTTTTTAATTTTATCTTCTTAATAATCCCTAATTAGGAGCCCCACACTTTCTAAATTGATTATTTTTCACAACAAATTTGACAAAAATCATTAGTATTAATGCCCTTTAGTTATAAAATGACAAGCTGTACACAGTCACTGCATTTGTATTGTAATTAAAATATGCAAATAATTTTACAAATAGTTATCCACTGAATGACAAATCAGAAATATGTATTTTTAATTCATGTGGATAAAGAAATTAAGGATATTATATTCATTGATTTTCTTTATTTTTTTACAATCTTTTTTCCATTATTTTTGTTCATATCTTTATGATAATTTGTGGCAATCCATAAATGTTGATAAACGATAAATAAAAATTTGTGTAGAAAGTGGGAGATAAAATGTGTATTTCAGTTTGAATGAACTCTATACATGTATATGTATAAATGGTGCAGCTTACATAAGATGTCTGCCTGTGCTACATCTGTTCTTATGTTTTTAATGTATTGTGTTTTTGTCCTCTGTCGTCTGTACATAGAATTGATCATACACTACGTTAGATAAGCTATGATAGCCTTAATGAAAAAGGGCTTACTGTAGAGGGATTCTGCACTGGTTACTGTGACAAAACTATCCTAACATGAAACAGTATATAGAATAAATAAATTTTCTCTCAATCATGACAATACTCTCTCTCAGGTTTGGGAGTTCATTGTTTGAGACATTGCATTGACTTTCTCAATCATAACCTTACTCTCAGGTGTGGGAGTTCACATTGCACAGTTGTTGACCAGCATCTCTGAATACTTAATTTAAATTCATGATATACTTTAGGATACCATTTAATGTCATTATGCAAGTATCTTATCCAAATCTTCAAATAATGAAACATGAAGAAATATCAGTCACTTGTACTTTCTCTATTATATTTGACATTCAAAAGTATGAGCCAGTAATACTATCTCCTATATACTAGACATGCAATCATACTATCTCCCATATATTTTCCCACTCTTTTACCTATGGCTTCTTTTTCTTTGTCAACATCACTAAAGTTCATTCCACAGTTACGAATGGTCATTCTCTGATCCAGGTCATCACTGTTTGTAATATCTCCCTCCAGTTCATCTTCCTGAAATAACCGCCGTCCCCAAGTCCACCGAACTCCATCCTCTAATAAACAAACTAAATCCTCTGCCTTCAGTATTAGCTTCTCAGAAAATGCAAACAACTCATCCTGTAAAAAGCAAATATCGGGTAATACAAAAAAATTAACATCACTGACAGTATATACATGTCTGTTGATCTTTTGGATGGGGAAACTTTGAAAATTGGTCTACAAAAAATAGAGACAGTCGATCAGCTTTCTTTTTGTGGACAAGGCGATGGGGATGGCCTGAGAAATATCATTCTGATTAATGACATTTCTCTAACAATGGGGAAATAACTCCAAACATTAAAGATAATGGCATACACATTTTAAGTAATCTGAGATTTCTTATCAATTATAATACTTGTCAAATTATGTAACATTGTATTGTTTTTCATGGTCAACAACTACACAAAATCCTTTATATCTATTTTACTGACCCCTTAAAATAAAACAAATTCTACTATTCAATATATTTCACATGGTTTATTTAGGAATATGGTAAGCAAATTAAAAGAAAACAACTATTTCTCCTCCAAATTGCAACCAGTTCAATTTAATGAATAAATTGTGAAATATAATGAAAGAAACAGACTATAACACTGAAGATAGTAATCTAATTGATTTTGCTTGAGGAAACTTTAGCCAGATGTAAAACTTCTAAGTTGATGAAAATAAAATAATAAATTACCATTTTACAATCATTGGATCCTTATTTTACATACTAAAGAAATTGTACATATCTTATGTCAGCATAAATATATAATCAAAATTGTACCTGATACAAAGGAAAAGTTTAAAGGACACATTTATAAATATAAATTTGTATACAAGGGCCAATTATTCATTCAACCTTTTTTTTGTATTCACCTATCGACCACTCTGTTTTTTCACTATCAAAAGTAAGATATCTTGTAAAACCATAATTAACTAATTAAATTTCAATAAAATCTATTTTGTGGCCATAGAAACTATAATATCGGATATTGTGATAATTCAATATTTAATAATAGGATAATCTGCTCTGGAGGAAAAATAATTCTTTAACAACAGCTGAATGAATATCATCAGAAAGAATAATAAATACATGTCATATGTGTATGTGTGCCAGTGTATAGATATAATTAATTAAATAGATCAGAGTACCAGTCAGGCTAACCATACATACAGGGAATCAGTCATTTTGGTTATCATAATTACTGAATGAACATATTCAAGTGAATAAATTTGAACGACCATAGAAAATTAATATGACAGATAAATAAATTCCTGTTTATATGACAATCTGTTTGTTGCACTGCATGTCTATATATACGGTAAATAAATAGTGATGTTGGGTTAACATTAACGAGACAGCAACCCAACAGTACAACATTCAGGGTTAATAATAACGGTCAGTTTGATGAATGTTGAGCTCTGGATTATCCTGAGTCTAATCTATAAGAGTCTTATACTGTCTAATCAAAACTAAGAAATTTGAAAAGGCACTTTTAAAAATAAAACAGGTACAAATGTACTGCTCAATATAAAGGAAAGCAGAATGTCTAATGTTCAAAAATTGTTAGGTTCTGAGTGTTTTAAGTATTTTCAAATTGAATAAGTAGTTTGTTTGAGTGGAGAATAACTTCATGATACTATACAAAATAGAAGTTTTGTTTATTTTTTTATGATTTTTACATAATAAATGGTCAGACATCGTCATCTTTCTCTGGAGATCCCAAAAAATATCTCTTTACATGGTCCCTGTTTTTTCACACTGTTACAACAGCTAATAAATTTGACAATATGTGAATTTTAACCAATGAAGAATGTAATGACAACATTTTGTTTATACAAATAAACAATGGGTCATAGAAAAAAAGCCCAGAGAAAAGTACACTTTAGTTATGTTCACAACAGTATGTGTAATATGGCTTTACTGGGAACATTTTAATACCTTTGGTTAGAAGAGACTATACTGAATGTGATTATTTACTTATATAAAGATGTTTAATATCATCAATTTAACAAATTGTTTAAAATTCAATTTTAAGTTGGAATATAGGTATGGGACAACTCTGTGTGACCTTTAAAAACTGAATCTATTATCTCTCTACTTAAGTAAAACTTTCAACTTCTGTCAATACCAATATATACTGTATATGAAAACCTTGAAATCAAGGTCAATGAATTTGACTTCAATTTGAAGAATAATTATCAGAAATAAAGTGTGGTCATTATAACTGAAATAATTACATATGATAAATCAGTAAGATAAAGATCTATTACAATATGTTCATTATTCTTTCTCCTGTCTATAATGGACAGACTATCAGTAAAACTCTCCAAGTGTATTTTTCTTATGTAAAATGTAATAACTTGTCTATATAGATATACATGTGTTGGCATCATATTACTTTCAAAAACATAAAATTAATGAGACCTTACAGTAAGGAATTGTGACACACAAAAGTTTGTACATAAACTGATGCTTATCATAAGGTGCACTTACTTAAAGTGTCTAACATTATCAAGTAAATAAATTTACCTCACTGACAATATTCTAAATCTAAAAAGTTTTATTTAATTAACTCTATCACTATATATATATGAAAATTATTTCACAAATATATTCATTTTCCAGAATATTTATCTTAGAGTGTAGATTATTTAAATTGTAAATTTCAATAGAAATATTGTAGAATTAGATAAAACCTGTCTCAGGTAAAGGGACAGGTAAAATCTCACCTTGTTATCTTAAACATTTACATTTATCAATTGTTTGATAGGTTAATAGTTACAAGTTTTATTATACCTTTTATTTTACACGTTAAAGTCCTATTAAAATCATTATGTAGACTGCAAAATAAAATAAAAATTGTTGGGAGGGCATTTTGAGTAACTTACATATGCTGCATAAAACTAAATAAATTTTGGTAAATTCACTTATTCATTATAAATAATTTAGGATTTTGCAGGCTATAACACTTTACTCACTGAATGGTAAAAATAACCAAAAAAAATTATCCATCTAGATCTTCTACCTTCACTTTTTTTTAATTGTATATGTCCCATTCCAGAAAATATAATAACCACAAGCAAAAAGTTGGATTTGATTCAATATATATTAACTTTAAATTTGCATACCAAAATAAAATTTTGTCCACTTACATTTGTAATGCTATAAAATATTCTCTGAGGGTAAGACATGAGTATTCATCTTATTTTTACAATGGTTTCATTATGATTTCTTGGTTACTTATTTTCCTGGATTTCACAGATATAGATCATCCTTGAATTTCAGTGAGCAACTTTAAATTCATTTTGATTTGTATACAGAATTGGTTCAAACCATGAAATCAAATATAAACAAACATAAAAAAATTCCTTAATCCACAAAATTAGTACCAACTAATATAAATGAATTCGCAGTAATACAAAAGATGTACATGAGGGAGATGACTCTTTGTTTATCTCACCATTTTTTATGTTCTTCTCTTCAGAGATTCCTTTTTGGTCCATTCAAAATTCAAATTCAAGTGTATTTTTTTCAAATGAAGGAAATAAATCTGCTTTCTGGATCACAGGAAATTAAATTAAAATTTGTTTTTTAATTCAATACAGGCTACAACTACTTATCTATAATTGTAACATTGTTTTTTTATAATGTGCAGTTTAAATGACAGACATTTCCTTGAGAAAAGTTCCTAACAATTTTTTACAGCTTCTAATTTGTTGTGTTATAATTTAGATGTGCCAATGCACATAAGAGTTTTATATCTTTTAAGATTTCACCTAGTAATAAAACACATCCATATGTGACTAATCTCAGAATAATTTTATAGGATGATCCGACATTTTAATCAATAGAACACTTATTAACTAAGTCAAGTAAAACTGGAATTACTGTGTTAATTATATTAAATCAAAAATTTAATGCAAAACAAATTTTTGTTCTTACAGCTATAAAATCATTCCTATTGAATAGGATTTTTTTAGCAGACTGCTACAAGACAAAATCAGATTGAATTTATTGAAATAGTAATGCCTTTGCAAGAATTAGTCAACTGCCAGACACAAGGAAATAATGGAATCAATAATTGGTAGAAATGTGAATGGCCAAGGTGCTAAGTTATTGGTAAAAACAGGAGAATCATATGTAATTCAATTAGTTAATTAAAGTAATTCCTCAATTATACCTTTTAGATGAAAGATGCATATGATTAATACCATCACGACTTGGGGGATTGTCATAAAAGGGGGAATAACTACTGTATTAGTTTCAACAGGAGATGGCAGTAGGACAGAAGTTGATGTGAGTAGGGCTTTAGAGAATTGCCAGTCACTTTCCATTTTTCACTTGATTTTATGGTTCACTATAACTCATCCTGTGTCCGAGACTGTATGTTGACCTATAGGATGTCTTACATTTTTTCCAGTGCCACTGGGTTGCTGTTTCATATACCCTGCATCTCATTTTAATCTCATACCAGTAATATTATTCAATATAAAGTTTTCAAGTACTAGTCACCTTTGTTGTGAATTTTGTCACAATTTGTCTAATTAATGTTGGAAACGTTTAATATGATGCCATCTACATTTATACTTTGGTAAAGGTCATATTTTTTAGTTGTTTTAACACTTGTGCTTTGTGGTTACTGTTTAAATTTCACCGACATCTCCTTTCACATTAATTATCTATGTAACATTGCTGAACTCACAAGGGCTTTAATGGCAAAATATCAGATTACAAGAGCCTATTACTAGAGCTCTGATGTGAGTTTGACCCTTAATACTATAAACCCTATAAGAAGAAAATTTTCCGGATTAACACTTTCCATAAACTTAACATGTTGTTTTCAAATTGATTTCTTCAAGTTTTCATTTGTTTGAAATAGGAAATAGTATCTATGTACAATTCAAATACAATTCTGGATTTTCAACTGCAGGGTAAATTTAAAAGAATTTTTATCTTTAAGAGTTTATTAAAGGGAAGGAAATACAAATGCAGTTATTCATATTGAGGCTTCTTTTAAAAAGGGGAGTAACTCATTCATATGACAAAAATCTAAATCTGAGATCAGCAACATACAGTTCAGTAATTAATA